ACACACACACACACACCTGCAGTTCCCCGCCCACCTCGAGCAGTCAGCCACTACAACAAAATTCAGCCCATAAGAGCCCGCTCTGATAGATATAAGAATAGCGCCATCCCATCTATTGTTAAAATAATAAACAACTCCTGATTTATGTACTGTACAGCCCTGTAAATGTATTCAACGCATATCATTATGTCTAAATCAAATGTAAGTTTGTATATTTTCAGCCACCTCCTGCAACTCTATTAATAAACCGTTTATTATTATTATTATTATTATTATTATTATTATTATTATTATTATTATTATTATTATTATTATTATTATTATTATTATTATTATTATTATTATTACACACACACACACACACTCGTGCTTAGGTATTAATTATGTAAACACAAACATTAAGTGGCTCTGTAAATCTAAACATAATGGGGACTCTGTAAACACACACATACACACATATATAAGTCAGGTCAACCACAACCACAAAACACACACACACACACACACACACACACACCATCATTACGGATACAAAGTTTAGTACGATTTTGAAGTTCCACAAAAACGTTCTACAGTTGTGTTTCAGTCATGGCATTGATCACATTAGTTATCCTAGCACGAAGATCATCTAAAGAACGAGGTTTTGATGATTAAAATACAGTTTTAACATGTCCCCATAGGAAAAAGTCTAATGGGGACAAATCCGGTGAGCGAGCTGGCCAAGCGAATGGCCCACCTCTTCCCATCCATCTATCCGGGTAAACTTCGTTTAAAAACTGTCGAACACAAGGAGCAAAGTGGCAAGGTGCGCCCTCTTGCTGAAAAACTGTATTGGCTATAATTCCTAATTGCCTCAGTTGAAGCATAAAGTAATTCTCTCGCATTTCCAAATAACTCTCGTCGTTAACAACTGTTCCTCCAAAAAAATAATGGGCTAATTACATGTATGTGTGTTTTTCCTAGTGCACACCAGACGTTGACCTTAGGGGAATCCCTTTCATTTTCCCAAACTTCTTGTGGTTTCTCTGACCCCTAAATACGGCAATTATTTCGGTTGACCTTACCACTAATGTGAAACGTTGCTTCATCACTAAAAATTAAATTGTCAACTTCGTCATTAAAATTGTGACAGAAAGCTCATCTTGCATGGTAGTGCTCTCTCAACATTTGATGGACTTCAATCTTGTAAGGTTGCTTATGCAATTTCACTTTGAGAATTTTGTTCACTGTTGTTTTAGGAACATGTAGTTCCAGAGAAGCCCGTCTTAGTGATTTTCGTGGACTATTCAGAAAAGCTTGGTCTACAGACATAGTCTCCTCGTTTACTCCCTGTCTTCCCGTTCGCGGCTTGTCATTAACGGAACCAGTCGCTTTAAACTTCTTCATCCATCTTGTAATTGAACTTCTGTGCGGTGCTTCCTTCTTGTAATTGGTCGTAAATTTTCTTCTAACAGCTGTTACAGACTTTAACTCAGCTAACGAGAGGACTCAATTCACCTTCTCTTCTGTTGAAGCCATTCGGTACAGTGTTGGGGAAGATTATCTGCAAAAGCAGAAGAAAAATTGCAATAAATAAATTTCTTTGGTCACAAATAAGCCTGAATAAATTACCTCTCCAATGCATTTTACAGATTGTTTTTATCTCTAATAGAACCGAAGTTATAAATATTTTAAACTTCACCAGGACTTTACGAACACCCTTATATAATTCATATTCACGCGGACTTCCATATAAGACGAAAGAACAGACTTTGTATGAAATATGAAATAAAACAATGACTAAAATTGCTTTTGTTGTCTTTGTGGCACCGTGGGAGCGACCCATGTTCACACTCAGAGGTCCAAGGTTCGATTCCCGACTAGTGAGGTAATATATATATATATATATATATATATATATATATATATATATATATATATATATATATAGATATATATATATATATAGAGAGATACCTGATAAATATGAAAAGGGAAACACGGTGCTCCGTTGCTTCCTTTCCCGTGATTTTATCAAGATTTATCTTATCCATATTAAATATATATATATATATATATATATATATGTCAGATCGTCTACACACTTAAGAGTCAAATTGAGCTCTGAGGTGACTCGAGAGGCCGACACAGGGCCATCCACAAGATGTTGCAGGTGTGGAGGTCTACATCTAATGTGGGAGGGGCAGCTGCAGCATCTTTCTGATGCTGACGCTTTTTTGCTTCGGTATGCAGTCGGGCTAACTCGAAAGTATTGACACCATATCTTTATCCCGTGGTGCTCCTCCAAGCATTAAGGTGTGGAGTGATCGTCTCCGAGGTGAGGGGGACGAATTAGCACTTTTTCAGATTTGTCTTAAGATTATCCTTATACCTTTTCTGTTGCCCACCAGCGTTACATATTTGCTCATGAATAATGGTGCCCTCAATGCTCTTACAGTTGGTGTCAGTGAGAATACTAGCATTTGTTCTCTTGTCTTCCCAGCAAACTCGAAGGATGGAACATAGACTATGTTGGCGAAAGTTTTCAAGTACCTTGAGGTGCCTCCTGTATGTAACCCATGTCTCGCTGCCACACAGCAAGGTGGGCAGGACCACTGATCGATACACGTGCAACTTTGTCGATAATTTCAGCTCCCTACAGCTGAAGACACGGGTACGGAGTCTGCCAAAGGCTTGAGATGCATATCTGATCAGATGTTGAATCTCATCATCGATGTCCGCGGTGGTGGACAGGTGGGAGCCGAGATACCTAAAGTGGGTAACACTAGTGCAGTTAAGCTGGATGGATGATGGAGGTGTGGTTGAATCAAGGGCACGTTGAAAGACAATCTGAGTCTTACGTGCTTTCACCTCAAGGACGAAGTGTCCATACAAGTCTGTGTAGGTGTACAGGATCTCATGTAGGTCGCCGACGTTCAGTGTGAGCAAAGAGGGTGAGGTCGTCTGCATAGTGAAGTTCAGTGATGGAAGTGGCCTATTCCTGCCTAGAGTCGTCTTATTTTGAAAATTCCCTTCATCCAGCACTGGATGTTCACCCCGCCGGCTAAATTGGCATTGGCACGAGTAAGGAAGACAGACAAGAAAATGAAAGAAAGAGTTGGTCCCAGTACACATTCTTGTTTTACCCCCGTTTGGATGGGGAAGAACTCTGACTGGAAGCCATTGTGTAGGGCACTGTTGTTCATGCCATCGTGGAATTGCCTCACAATGTCGATGAATTTTGGTGGGCAGCCAAAATGGCCGAGAGTCCATCAAAGGGTTTCTCTGTTGATAGAGTTGAAGGCCTTGGTTCGGTCGATGAAAGCTATGTACAGGTCAGGACTCTGTTTTCTGCACTTTTCCTGTTTCTGGCGGGCAGCAAAGATCATGTCAGTGGTGCCATGTGGTGGTCTAAAGCCACATTGAGATTCTGGGAGGAAGTTTTCTTCCCCAGGAGAAGAAGTCTGATTAGGAGGACCGGGGAGATAATCTTGCCAGCTACGGACAGCAGCGAGACCCGCGGTAGTTGCCACACCACAGTCTGACCGGTCTCCTTTTCCCATATATTTTCCAGGAGTGAGTGGAGACGGCTGGTAAGCAGAGGTCCTCTTGCTTTATACACCTCGGCTGGGATTCCACCAGGCCCTGTAGTTTTGTTATTTTAAACTTTTTCATCTGCTTGATAGCAGTAGCTACCTCATCCAGGAATGGAGGATAGCTGAGGTGGGTCAGCTCTGGGTGTTGAAGGACCTACTGGGTAGTCAGGACATCCACATCGGGGTTTCAGTTGTACAGCGAATGTTAGTGCTATTTCCAGCGCTGACGGATGCCTTCGTCTTTAATTAGGGAGTTACCGTAGGATGAGCGGAGGGGGCCACACCATGAGTAGTTGGGCCATATATTGTTTTTGACCACACACACACACACACACACACACACACACACACACACACACACACACTTTGCATTGACCTATGAATTTGTACATTCAAACAAGTAAACAAATGCACAAATTATAAACTGTATGTATGTACGTATGTATGTATGTATGTAGGTATGTATGTATGTATGTACAGTGTATGTATGTATGTAATGTAGGGCAGTTTAAATCATCATTTAGGCCAACGGACCTTATAACTGGTGGTACTGCTACACTGAACATCATATTCGAGGTTAGGAAAGGTCAACGTTGATATAACATTAGGCGTAAAATGTGCTCAATTGGCTCCATACTTTGACCCGCAGAGATAAGATCACATAAAGAATACCAGCTATACACGACACGCCATTCAAACACGTGTTTCAACCCCCTCAAACACACACACACACACACACACAGATACTATAATCTTTCTTGGGTATACCTTTCTTCCAAGTAGATTTCCCTTTAAAACAAGTAAAAGGAATCAGTCACATCCCCAGTACCAAATATTTAACCTGATCTGACTTATAAGGGTATTGTAAGATTGTTCGGCTGGGTTAGGTTAGGTAACTTAGGTTAAATTTGTTGGTTCATGGTTTTTATCAATGGCTTTAACACAGCAGTCAGACAGCCGCCTGTGGATGTTGTCAGCTGGTGCAGAACATACATAGATCACAGTTGGTTCTTCTCTGATTTCGTCATACAGTATAAGCAATGGGTAAATCTACTTAACAATACTGTACCAGTTAGCATGTGCCGTGGCTGACGAACGATTTATTCGGAATATAAATCAGATAAAAAACCAAAACAATACAAATCATAAATCACAACTAAGTGGAAAATGGCTTCTCGAAAAAAAAATTGTTTTCCAATACAAAACTCTAAAATCGCTAGTTTAGGTGGACGAGCGCTGTGAAATATCCCCTAGTGGTGTTAGGTATAATTTTTTTTAGTTAAATAATTCCTAATCCATCCTTGTTGACGTAAAACTCATGGTCTCACGTGTTAGTACAGTTGGTGATAACAGAGGTGATGTTGGTGTTATCTTTCGCCCCAGACCTCGCAGATAACTGATAACTACACTCAGTTCATCGTGTCAGCTTCAGAAGTGGTCTTGTGGTCACTGGTGAATGAAGTCTTTCACATTACCGTCCAGCTGCCTCCTTGTAGTCTCCATCACCGTCTGTATTGTACGTACTGTATGAGGTGTAGTGATGAGCCCCGCCAATTAGTTTATTATTATTATTATTATTATTATTATTATTATATACACGTTTCGTTCAGTTTTAAGATACAATAGTTGAACTCAAATTTCATTAGTCTGGTTAAGTTAGGTTAGGTTAGGCTGGTTTGGTTTGTTTAGATTAAGTTTAGTCTGGTTAGGCTGGTTTAGTTTGTTTAGGTTAAGTTCGATTTGATAATTTTAGGTCAAGTTAGGTTAGATTGGTTGTTTTCTGAAGACAAAGTTTAACGATTATAGTCATGGTATTCTTTTAACATTATTGCGTGTAGCTCGTGTTGGTATACCATCTGTAGCCAAAGACCAGCGTGTAAGGTGATGAAAATGTCGAGGTTATTGACTTTGGAATCTTTATTCTTCGTCGTGTAATCAGAGATAAGTTAATTATACAGGTGCAGGTAAAGTGTTTTTGCTAAGACTTTAAGAGCTTCGTCAATGGCAAAAAAAATCTGTTAGTTTGTTTGTCAGGCAGCCATTACTGGTATATGTATACAGAATATGGATGAGCAGGATTACTGACGCAGATGAAACACTATTTGAGCGCCACAGTTATGCCTTTTTAGACTAGGCTGCTAGTGATGGTGGTGAAGTCAGTGGTATACCAAATCATGAGAAGGGATCGTAATGGACGTTTAGCTTATATTAAGATCTACAACGGAGATTTATCAAAGGTTAAGATAGGTTAAATCAAATTCCATGACATTGACATTTAATATACGGCAAGTTGAATTAAGGTGTGCGATGGCTTAGTGAATAGTGCTTCTTGTCCTAGGGTTCACTGGTTCGAAACCAGGGCACTCTCATCTTCCTAGCAGTGAATGGGTATCTAACTTTATAGTATGTTGTACACACATTGTCCCTAACGGACAGTCATGCCTCTGGAACCCTTTTTAACTTTCAAGTTAGATTAGAGATAAGGGGATAATGGTAGAAACATTAATGGATAAATTTGAGGGTAGGAGGACCAGGGGAAGGTCAAGACTGGGATGGATGAAGGAAATTATATGTTGTTGTCCACGGAGAGATACAACATCTGACAGGATTGGTAAACAAATCCCGTTTTTTTTTTTAGTTTAACAATTTTATTGGCAAAGCTTGTAGTACAGTTTGCCTATTCTGAGTAATTCAGTCAGGTCTTGACACTAAGGGTGGTATCACTTCTCACTGCCACGCAGGACAGAGGTTCATACACAAAGAAATGCATCATATTCATTAACAGCTATATATGTATAGAGGTCAGATTCATGTGGGTAATGTCACTGTTTACTGCCATGCAGGACAGAGGTTCGTACACAAAGATGCATCATATTCATTGACAGTATATATATATATATATATATATATATATATATATATATATATATATATATATATATATATATATATATATATATATATTTATAGGTCAGATTCATGTGGGGTAATGTCACTCTTCACTGCCATACATGACATAGGTTCGGTTACATTTTGGGTGGTGGGTCATGGTCGCCAACCCTCAGCCATGATAATACCTTGATACATTGCTTGAGGTTGGATAATAGTACTTCATCCCTACAGGTAACACCAGACAACACCCTAGCTAAGTTTTTTGTTTTCTGCAATAATACATTATGCCCACCCAGTGTCAGTGTTAAATTCTACACAGTGGAGCCTGGACCGTTGGCTGATTGGTAGAAAACAGTGACAAAGTTTCAGTTTATTTTTTTTAAATTTTGCAAATATTTACTGGTTACTTTATACAAAGTTCTATCTTTCTTAATTTTTTATTGTTATTGGACTAGTGTATATTACCTGTACTAACCTTGTTACAAGCTTAAAAGATCTTCCTTGTTGAAGTGCAATAATAATATAACAACAACTGGTTTGGTTAACTATACACGTACTCGTATAATTATATAGCTGACTTAGTTTTATGATAACTAAGGGTGTTTGAGGAATACGTTTCATAATTCGTAGGTGGGGGTGTATTCCTGAGACATACATGAGGATAAATGACTGCATGACTATAGTATAGTGTCTATCCCATAGTTTCGGAATTATGCAACAAAATTGGGTAGAGGAGGACAGTAACAAGTCTTTGGACATAAAACATAAAATATCAAGCCCCATTTAAATTAAGTGTTAGCAGTCGCGTGGGTTTGTGAACAATCTACTACAGTGACACGCAGTGCATCTCATCAAGTACGATTCGCAATTAGTGTTTGGGTCGGCAATATTGGTGACCACCTTATTGGCCCGTATCTGCTACCCCAGCGACTGTCAGGTGAAGTATACACACATTTTCTTGAGGATACGTTGCCAGTGATGCTTGAGGATGTGCCCATCAGGATACGTCAACAACTGTGATACAGGCAGAATGGCGCCGCACCTCATTTTGCTCGAGTAACAACGGAATTCCTAAATGTTGGGTATCCTGGCAGGTGGCTTGGGCGTGGCCGTATTGTTCCGTGGCCACCTCGATCACTTGACCTAAATTCCCTTGACTTCTACTTGTGGGGTCACATTAAAAGCAAAGCGTATGCTACAGAGGTTCCGACTCGTGAGGAATTGTTGCTCCGAGTGCAAGACAAGCATGCGCCACACCCTGGTCTTCGAGCGTGTACGACAATCACTTTTGCGACAGGCTAAAGCCTGCACTTAGGAAGAGGGCCAGAACTTTGAACATTTACTGTAAAACCCATATCAGAGTGCACATGATTGTAAATAAATTATACTAGCAACGCTGGGTATTTCATTTATACTCCGTAAATTTGATCACATTCCAACCCCAACTGCATGTGTTATAACTCCGAAGAAACTATGGGGTATTGACATGGAGTCATATCCTTATGTATGTTTCCGAAATACACCTCCAGAATTATGAAACGTATTTCCGAAAAAAAAATGTATATAGGTTTATTATTATGTTGATTACACGATGATGCCTATTAATTTTTCCTGCAATTGTTTATGTACGTACACTGTACGTACTAGCATAAGATTTTGTAATTTTGTACTTGTAACTAAGTCATAAGTGAGGATGATCTATGTTACCGAGTGTGTTATTTTGTTCTTATTTACAGGCGTTAGCACGTACAGGTTTATACTCAAGTGTATAAAGTGGAGGGTGAGGATGGTCACGCACGCCAGGCAGCCAGCGATTTGCTCATCACCAGATTCACAGACAATAGGTTCTTGTTCGGTGTGGCAAGCACGTTATTATTAAAAACACAATTCTACTGAAGGACTTGGAATTCCTTAGATCCACTGTTGTATTGTGTTGTATTTTTGATGATCTATAATTTCCTTAACTCTTCTGGTGCTGCATAGTAATGTCGAGTTTTCGGCTATAAAAACTATCAGCATGAAGCCATCTCTTAATTCGTCGGATAAATATATAGTAGGTGAATTAAATGACGTACATATACTGTATATACCAAGGTGGCCTCCCGTATTCACGCTTACTAATCCTAACAGCCCACTCTGACTGGTAAAGCGCATGATGGAGAGGGCCTTTGAATTCCTTTAAGGTATATGGTGATGGAATTTTTCGTCTGCCGTCTTGCTTATCACCTCACCTATCTCACCTACCTCAATATGGGTATGGTGGCGTAGTGCTGAAGGTAGAGTTGATAAACTGAATGTACCACGATCGACACCCGCATTGATGGATAGGCGCATAGCTTTACTTTTTTACTTTTATCCTCTTCGCCACTGATCGGCTCGATAACCGCTTGGGTGGTCAGCCACGTCTTTGTTACACACTGTTGGCAAGTGGTCATGAACTGGCTCCTGAATATATCGGAAACTGCTTCAATGTTGGTCAAGTCTGGCCTTGAAAGAGCTCACACTAGGTGCCGTCACAACTCTGGTAGATTGTTCTTCGAGTTCACAATTCTCACGCCGAAAAAGTTTGCCCTCAGTGTTTTCTGGACTTGTGGTTTCTTCAACCTTGAGCTGTGACCCCTGTGGGGCGGCCGTCCGCCAGCTCCAGGTATGTACAGTTCCGTTTAGAAGTTCGTTGTACACTCGCGGTGGAGGGCACATAACCCGTTGCATCCTTCCTGGACGGCAGGTCACCGCGCCTACCAGTGTTGCCAACCCTTCAAGACCTCTGCGCCCTACACAGACACTGAAATTACCCTACATTCCCCTTCATTACCCTACGGCTCACTATGAAAATATATATATGAATAACATTGCAATAACCTCAAAAATGTTGTTATTCTTATTTTGTGCATGACTAGACCTACACATTATTTTCCTTCAAACAATAATAATTATGTACTGCAGTTATTGGGCCTCCCTAAATTAAAATCAAGCTTCTATTCAAAAATAAATAATAATTCTTAAATTAAAATATAACTTATTTAAAAAAGTAATTATACATTTTCAGCAAAAAACAGGAAATCTTCTTCTCAACCCAATCTTAACAAATTATTCTGTTGATTTTTTACATTCTTGAATGAATACATACAGTATATACAATACAATATGTAGATTATAGTGTTCAGGTTTAATTTTCTTACTTCTACAATCTTCTTCCCTTGCTATCATGCTAGACTTTGTTAAAAGAATAGCATTCAGTAGTTCTGGCCCCATTTTATTTATTTTCTTTGTTTTAGTATCTGTTAGCATAGACAAAATTCTTTCAGTCTCAGCATTGGAGTGGGGTAGAGTAAGAACCAATTTAGCCAAACATACCAAGTTTTTGAACACTGGTTCATCAACATTCTCCACATCAGATAAGAAAACCCAAAACTCAGTGTTTGTTTTCTTCTTTAGCTCTCTACTTTCCTCCTCATTAAAGTAAAGGGGCAACTTTCTCCATTCCTCATCAACATCACCATCTTGATCTAACAAATGATGATATTTGTCTTTAAGGAGACTAAGAGAGGGAATTTTGCTTCTACTTTGCAAATCAAGTGCAACTGATCGTTGAATAAACTCTACTTCTTGAAAGAAAAGATC